AGAATTGTAAATGGGCTGATCGAACAATGTCATGCTCATAACTGTGCCTGAACTACAACAGAGAACTGCGGCCTTTTCTTTTCTAATTCTTACTATCGTCCTTTTCCTCTACTTCTTTTGTATGTTTGTCACACTCTTATGACCTGCTGTATCCGGGGTGCCTTGACAGTCGAAGCATACTTTGTGCTGTTATTGAAGCTAGAGAGGTGAGCAGAGTAAGTCTGATTCCCTGTAAGGACTTCTCTGTTGACACCCATCCCTTGGTGCTCATATGACCTTATGCAGTTGCCAGTGCCGTAAAACCTCTACTAAAACCTCTAAGACTTCCCAAAGTTGACATCTATTTACCCTGTCGAACGCCTTTTCGTGGTCCACGAAGATGATATTGAGGTCTTGTCATGTCCAATGGCAGTCTCACACAACTGTCCGAATGCAAAAAAGCGTCAGTACAGCCCTTGCCTTTTCTGAAGACAAACTGGGATTCATTGAGTTGAGTCTCTACAATTGGTCTCATTCTCATTTCCAGTATCTTGGCAAACGTTATATCCACACGGCTGAGAAGGGATATTCCTCTGTAGGCTTTGGTTTGATTTTGTCGCCCAGGCCAGGTTATATATCCTCCATAACCAGAGTTCTCCGACATGGCCGTATAGTTGGATCTCTTCTGCGGTAATGTTTTCAATGCCCATCGCCTTGTTTGTGGGGCTTCTCTTGGACGTCACTAAATGAAATAGACACACGTATTACTGCTTACGTTTCATACAAAGAAAGTCAGTTGCTCTACAGAAACAAACAGCATTTGTATAGCGCATAACCCTGCTCGACAGCAAGCTCTATGCGCTTTACACTATATTATATTATTACCCCAGCAGACCATAGAACACTCAGAAACATTCTCAGCTTCCCGGGAAGCATACAGTGCAAGCAGCTGATTAAGCGCTCAAACACTAACAAACTGACACGATCTTTCACTGTCTATAGCTGGGTACCCATTCTCACCTGGGTGAAGTGAGGAAAATTCGTGTGAAGTGCCTTTCCCAAGGACACAACGTCGGGTCCCTGACAGGATTCAAACCCACGACCTTACGGATGCGAGTCCGAGAGCCTAACCACTAGGCCACCGACGCCACATACAACAAACAAAATAAACAATCAAATTAGTTGATTTGAATTATCAGTGCAATATACAGTGTGTATGAAAAGAAAAGAGTGCCCCCTGAAAGGAGATAACTGGGTCATCTCTACACTAATTTCAACAAAAATTCAAACAATAAAATTCAACGTGAGGACAACAAGTTTGTATTACAACTATGAAGAAAATCAGTCAATGTGTTCGAGAAATATTATGTTTAAAAATTTCAACCAAAGTTAGGTAAAACGCAACATTTTACTTCTTATAAGCCTTCAACTAAAGTGGCGCGATAGTTTCAAGACAGGAACAGTAAAACCACAACAGTCACCTCAGATAGATTTCTATAAGTAAAAGTGCCTAGAAAGTTTTGTAAAAAGGTTGGGGAGAATAATATGTTTTGTTGTACAGATCTGATTTCCGTGGGATTGGACCACAGACGATACATCAAGAGTGGCGCTGATATAGTTGCAAGAAAGGTTTGGGGGATGCTTTACAAGCTGAAATTTTACAAATAAATGGTTACCATACCCCCCCCCACACACACACACACACTTGAGCCCCTTCAATTATTACCTTTAGGGATGTTAGACAGACAGCGTGTAGGAAATAACCCACAAACAATCAAACAGTTAAAACTCAATGTTGAAGAGGATGTCCTAAGAATCGATCCAGAAACATGCCACAGGGCTACAAAATGTTCCAGTGGCATATTTGAACGTGTATGGAAAGAAATTGCCTACATCTGGGAATTTAAATAGCAGACACCTTACTTGAGTTTACTAAGCAAAATATAAATTGTGTATTAATGTGTTCTTCAATGCACAAAAAGGTAACTATTTAAAATAGAACAATATGGTGGATTTTTTAGAAGTTGCAAAGTTTTACGTTTCAACCAGGATTGGTTGAAATGTTTAAAATTTGACATTTTTAGAAGAAATTGGGTGATCTTTATCACACTGGCAAATGTGTGGTCCTCATGGTTGAAATTAATTGTCTCTGCGAAGTTTTATTTCAACTGGTTCCTAGATAAGTTATTACCGTTTATAGGAGTCCTCTTTTTAAGACACCTAGTACAAACTGTTGGATTAATTATAATAATTATAAAACACGGATTTGCTGAGGCTTAGCAAATTTTGTTATGACCGTAAACCACCGATCAATGCTTTGTCAGCTTAATTGAAGAGCCATAGACAGAATTGTTATAATATTATGCATGTCACAATGAGCTTCTCATACTTTAGTCTTCTTTTGAGCAGGTTAGGTTAACAACCCGTCCTTGAAAAGAGGGCCAACACGTCCACTTAATGATCACATCAGATAATCCAAATGCTGCTTGTATAGAAGGCAAACCGTGTAACCCGAAAAATGCACAAAGTATCTTCACATCATTTCTAATTTATATTATGTTAAAAATATACCCCAGATGGCTAATTTTCTAAATAATCCTTTAAACGAGAAACGTCCGCGGAAAATATAACACATTCATTATTAAATGTTGGTGTGGCTGTGGTCATGAGCAGATATTTGATTTTGATCGTGTGCAACAGCAGAAAATGTTTCTAGTACACTTCCTCTGCTCCCCCATTCTCTCTCTCTCTCTCTCTTTCTCTCTCTCTCTCTCTCTCTCTCTCTCTCTCTCTCTCTTTTTTTCTTTGTCTCTCTCTCTCTCTTTTTCACTCCCTGTCTCTCTTTCTCTCTCTCTCTCTCTCTCTGTCAGTCTCTGTCTGTGTGTGTGTGTGTCTGTCTGTCTGTCTGCCTGTCTGTCTATCTCGCGCGCGCTCTCTCTATCTACCTATCTA